TGTTGGTTTTGGCGTCGATGCTGGCGCTGGCGATGGTGGAGGCGCTAGCGCTCATGCCGGCGTAGGCGCCAGAGTTGGCACTGTCGCCTGTACTGGTGTCAGCGGTTGCACAGGCCCTGTCGTCGGTGTAGGCGTAAGCCTGAGCATTGGCGCTGTCGTCTATGCTGGCGTTGGTGCTGGGGTAGGCGCAAGCGTTGGCGGCGGCGTCGATGAAACGGTCGGCGCGAAGGCCACCCACCAGGTTGATGCGGGAGTCAACGAACTGGTCAGCGCAGAAATCGGCAAATTCATGAGCACTGATCGTCAAAGACGACGGGGCGTTCTGGGAGCTGAAATCGGCGACGTCGGCGGCGCGGAGAAACAATCGCAAAGACACGACGGACAGAAAGACCCGGTTGGGAGAACATGCGAGATGGAACACGCTGCGCTCAGAGAGAAAGTCAATGTGTAAAAAAGGCACCGGCGCCGACACCTGTCATCCCCGTGCAGAACGACCCCCTACAGGATGTGGTAGAAGGCGAGGAGGCAGAAAAGGTCAATGTAGTCGTCGTCGTCGTACTCGTCGGGCCCGCCACTCAGCAGCCGCCTTTCGTGGTCGCCGTAATGGGCGGTCGTCGTTGTTGTCCTGACGCGCCCTGCGCCCGGCAGGAGCGCGTCCGCTATGCAGCCGACGCCCAAAAAATCCGCAAGTCGTTCGCAGAAGGGCACAACCGCGGCACGCCTCGCGAAGCAATTGGTTCATGCATGGCGAAACATACGTCGTCTGATCCGTGAAAGCCTGCCTGCGGTGGTGGCGCATGTGGTTCACGCTGCAATAAAACGTAACTGGATACGGCTTGACGCATCAAGGTATCATCGTCCATCGGCGTGCCCAGTACGGCATGCAACAAACCATGTTGCAAAATACCTTGTCCCGACCGTCGTCGCTGCCAGCCACGTAAAACTGGACATTGGCAATAATGTTCCACGGTGTCTTGGGCCGTTGGGCTGCATCGGAGTGCGCATGGGCCCCGTTGTCCCCGGAGGCTGCGCACGCGGCGGTCTGTCGTCCATCTGTTCAAGACAGTGCTCAGAGACGATGCGCGTAGCCTCGGCGGCACCAGGCGTCGTAAGCTCTGTAGTCGCTGTGCTACTCTGCGTGCCAGCTGGCCCGGATAGACGGGCAAACTCCAGCGTGATAGCCGCCCACGTAGACGCCACTACGCACTGCAGTTGTCTTGCTGGGGCAGTCGGTCCATGAACCATCGCTGCGTGCGCTTCTTGAAGCGTTTGTGGGCAGGTCTCGCCAACGGACCTGTGTCCGCCCCACCGAGGTCCAATCGGGCTGCGCAAATGTGGATCCCAGTAGCCGCGCGAGCTCGAGCTAGATCTCTCGCCGCAGTCGGCGCGTGATGCCCGACCCGTGGGAGTTGAATAAGCGAACGAATGCGCTGACCTGGTCACATCTACTCTTCGCTTCCGTCAACGTTGCGGCTAGGCGGTGCCGTCGCCAGTGGCCCCCCAAGCGCGCGTGCGCAGCATAGTCGCTTGGCAAGTGATGCGTAGGGGTCGTAGCCGCGCCGACAGTCCTAGCTCTGTAGCGTGGCGCACGCCTTCGGGCATGCACTATCCGCCAGGCCCGGGGGCCACGCGTCGGACTGCTGCCGCTTCCCGCGCGAGAACGGCTGGCGGCGGTGGCTCTAGCTGGGCCACGAAGAGCAGCACAGGCAAGACAAATGTGTTGTAGGTGGTGATCGCAAAGTGAAGGCCAAGCTCGCTCCGACGCTATTCTCTGAGACGCTTTTCGTATTCTACCAACGGTGTGTCCCACGATTTGCCCCCCTTGCCTGGCCCAGCGTAGAATCCCAAGCACTTCCCTGTCGTGGCCCCAGAGATTTGGATCGCAGCGGGGCCCCCCGTGGTTGCCTGCTGCAGCTGCGTAACGTCGGCGCCCCACGGCGGCACGACGACGGTCTTGGCCAGGCTGGGTGCCCGGTTGGAAACCATCTCGAATATTCTGAAACTGGGAAACACCCGTCGGTGGTCCTGGCTCCAGGGGCGCAGAATCATTGCGGTGTCGTCGGCGAAAACCGGAACGGTACCCGCAGGGTGTCGCAGGTGAATGATTCGCAGCAGACTCTCCGATGCTAGAGCGAAAAGCAGCGGCGAAAGTGGGCAACCCTGACGGATGCCCGCTTCCAATGCGACGTGTTCGCGCAGCCTCCCCTGCAGTAGTAGAGTGCCGATGGTCTTGTGGTAAAGTGACGTACGCACGCCCATGGCTGTCGGCGGGAAGCCAGCTGCTTCGGCCATGGTTAAGATGTACTGCCTCGACACAGACGGGAAAGCAGCCGTGAAGTCGAAGAGCACGATCGTTGCGTCCGTTTCCTCAAGCGCCGCCACCATTGCAGCGTGCTCGACGTCGACGGCGCTAGACAGCATCGACCGACCTTGGATAAACCCCCTCTGTGCCGTAGTTATGTTGGGCGCCACCAGCGGCTCCCATCGTAGACGGTAGGCATTCGCGATAATACGGTTGTCCGTATTTGTGATCGTGAGCGGGCGTGTCCCGTCAGTTCTGTACAGCTGTTCTCCGGCAGCGTCGGCGCGGACGGGTTCCTTCGGCAAGCAACATAACAACGACTCGTTAAACAAATCATGCGCCTCCGTCCCTTCCCACACGAACTCTTCGAATCGTCTCCCCGCCTCCCACAACACGTGCGTTCCAAGCGGAACCAGGCAGCGCCATGCCTGGAAGGGGATCCCATCTGGCCCCGGCCGGGAATTGCCAGCGATGCGTAAAGCTTTCTTGATGTCATTAGACCGGAGGCGCCAGCGGGAGGCAGGTAACGTCAAGCGCCTGGCCCCTGCGTGCACGGCAAGCGCTGCCTAAAAAGCCAGTTTCGCTTCGTCGACTGGTTTATGCCCGAAGACCCTGCGCCAGTGAACTGCTAACTGCTCGGCAATGGCCCCCGCCTCGGAATGGATATTTCCATGCGCGTCCCCCAGTAGGTGGATGGCGGCGTCTTCTGTTCGCCGGGCAAGTCGGGCGCCTTCTGTTTGATCAAATTTGGAATGCCCGTCTGCAACACGATTGCGCAACATGTGTCGAAACGTATTCGATATCAATACATGATTGCTCAGTTAAAACAGTAAATGAGTAGAGCAGACTCCGCACACACCGGGTACTGCCCCAACGATGTGCAAATTGATAGTGATTGATCGTGCTAAGCAAACGATTACATATACAACAAATTGTGCGTGCTGCAGAGAATTCGCACATGTTCCTAACATAAACAGAGGGGGGGGAACACTTATCCTGGAGACTGCCCAAGTGCAACAAACATGTGCATAACTGATACTATAACACCGCTGGTCATATATAGTTGCACGAAGATGCGCCAACTGTTTATAATGATTTGCTGTTAGACAATACGAGCTTGTGAATTTGTTCATCGGGTTCCATGCACGTTCGCGCAAACTGGAAACTGCTAAATTCAAACAACGGGAAATCATATTTACCCGTGCTGTTCTTATGAGCGCGGGCGATGTGGTCACGACGATCGAAAGGACATGTCGCTGGAATGTCTCATCCATACCACACTAAGAGCGCGACTTGGTTTTCATGCGAATCGTTGTTCTGCAACGATGACCAAGCACCGTTTCCAACATAAAAGGATATTGTCGATGTAGTGATAATGTATGGGATGTTCCTTCCTGTTCGAATATGAAAGACTTCTGATTCTACAAACAGGCAATGGAAGCTTAAACAGTACCGTTCGCACGGGAGGACGAGGTCAACCATTTAAATATGATGGTGGTTTTCGATTGTGTGTGTGATCTTGAACTATTTACCTTGTTTTGCTACACTCAGGAACCCACACCATATTCCTATAAAGTGGCACTGTTGATTAATGGTTTGGCATCTGACGTTCTATGACGCTGTGACGTGTGTAGACGTACATTCGTTTCACATTGCACGATATCTTCATCAATGAATTCGCATCACTCGGTGATACAAAACTTCTGGTCCATATGGGCTAATAGGAATATGCGAGGATAGTTGGAAACAGCATTGCCGCATTACTTATGCAGAATAAATTTGAATGTGCTCTTGAGTATGTATATGTCCCCGCGCTGTTTTTCTAAGCACTAAACCTTTCATAAGACAATAAACCAAGAACCATTCGATATGGAACCGCATTGCTTTTGCTTTCCAAATGAATGTATAGGACCCTGTGCGGGCATTCGGAAAAAAAGACATTGCTCAGCCCCCAAGAAATCAATCATGCCAACAACTTTTAAAGAACTGTCCTACTGATTGATCTGATGCAGTGATGATCAATTAGGTTATAGCCAGTAAAATCAAGATCAAGCCAAAAACAAGTTAAAGTGTTTCCCGTTTTTCATATGAATGACAATGATTCAATGATGACTGCAGAAAATACTTGCATCAAAACAAATAAACATTAAACATCGCATGCGCTTCTAAATTGTATGGTTACAACTACGTACACGATAATACTTGCAACTTGAACGACAATGTTGCTGTTTTTAATAATTTACATGCTGTCGTGCACATCTGGTATACAAACAATGAAATATATGGAACAAGCCACACAAAACAAAAACGCAACTGTCCCAAAACTTTCCCAGAAAATGGAAAAACAATGTCCAACCCGTTCCCCCCGGCCCACCTTACAACGCTATCGATCTCACGATCGATCTCACGATCGGTCTCACTATCGGTCTCACTACAAGACACCGACGAAACACCGACGGGACACCAACGGGTCAGAAGCGGGACACCCGCGGGACACCCCCAACCACCGCAGGACAACCCGGGGGAGGGGGCGGTATTTTGGCCCGGCGGCGCCTTAGCCAGAGGAAGGTTCATTCCTCTCGCCCGCCCATGCAACTTCGCCTCGCCCGCACACACAACACGAACACGAAACCGAAACCGATTTCCCAAAGGTGGGCTCTTCGTTTCACTGCGATCTCGCCCCCTCAACTCCGATTTAGACTGCCCCACTCGTCGAGGTCATAGCCAAGCCGCTCGGCATTCACCAATTACGCTTGGATCCAGCTCAAAAGCCTCGCCTGGCCAATGCAGCTAGAGGCAACGCAAAGCCAAGCATCGGCGCAAGGTAAGTTTGTTGAAAATCGAATGCGATTGCTGTAACGACGGTGCTGCTAGTACGATCGTCAAACTGTCGAGAATACGACTGCACAGGCGCACCCTCGTACTTCTAAGACCAATACACATGGTTGTCCAAACACAACCTCAAGTGTGGACTCACCGCCTGGCTCGATCAGAATCCAGAGACTGAAATCAGCGCGACTGGCTAATAAAAGCTTGCTATTGTGAGTTGTCACCTCGAGCTTGGCCCTCACCAGTGAAGCTGCCATTCACTGCAAAAAGCCTCCTCCTGGAGGAGGGCGAGTCTGGTCAATGCTGCAGCCAGGGTCACCACAGAGTCAAGCATCGTTCCAATTGTAATGTTGCTGGCGTTCGAACGGTAGCAATGGTCCTATAACGCAACGCACGAGACGGAGCTGGTTACTAATCCGCCTACCCTGTCAGCGTGTGTGAGAGGCTGTTTCGTTTGACTCGTCGTCGTCGTCGCTGTCGCCGTCGTCACTGTCGTCATCGTCGTCGCCGTCGCCGCTAACCCCCTTTTTCCCTGGGCCCTCCTCCTTAAGCGCGCCAGCAAAAGCGAAACAGCCTACGTAAGCGAAATCGAGCAACGTCGCAGTTGAGTCAAAGGGAAGCCCTTTCTCTCGGATCCCTTCCCCAGGGGGGGGGTCCTGGGACCCAAAAGCCCTTCTGGGGCCCCCACGAGGGCCCCAGGCGCCCCCAAGGAACCGCCAGGAAACCCCTGGAGCTTCCCAAAAGGCTTCCAAGACACCCCCAAAACTTCCCCCCGACAAAAGGCCCCCGAGAGCGCTCCAAAAAGACTTCAATAAGCATCCTGGCCCTCCTCCTTAAGCACGCAAGTTAAAGCGAAATCGAGCGACGTCGTGGTCGAGTCGAAGGGAAGCCCCTCTCTTAAGATCCTTTCTCCGCCTGGGCGGGGGGTCCCTGGGGGGGGTCCCGTGGAAAAAAATGAACGCCCCAGGGATCCGTTCCCGTTCCCATTCCCGTTCCCGTTCCCTGTCCCTTTCCCTTTCCCTTTCCCGTCGTCGTCGTCGTCGTCGTCGTCGTCGTCGTCGTCCCGTCGTGGTCATCGTGGTCGTGGTCGTGGTCGTCGTCGTCGTCGTCGGCGTCGTCGTCGTGGTCGTCGTCGTCGTCGTCGTGGTCTCCGTCCACCCTAAAGGGGGGTCAAGAGGGAGGCTCCAGAAAGGCTGCGGACGCTTGGAGGTTTGTTGAGCTCTCCTGAGAAGCCTCTCGGGGGCCTCTTGGAAACATGTTGCGGGTCTCGTGGGGCCCGTAAGGGGTCTTCTTGGGGACGTCCGGGCGGAGGACCTGGGGGTCTCCTGGGAGTTCGTTGGCGGTCTCGGAAGGTCTCTGTCAGACGCCTACGGCGAATCACCGCCGCCCCTTGCCTTTTGGAAACGCCGACGCGGCCAAACGTTACGGCGAAGATTGGCCCAGGTGTTGGACCAGGTGTTCCCCCAGCCGTTGTTGCAACCCTTGGGGGAAACACTCGGGTGAGGAAGATGAGGGAGGAGCAGGATAGAGGGGGGTGATGGTGATGATAACGAAGATGCACATGAGATGACAAGGGGGAGGGAGGAGGCCTCTTGGAGGCATTTTGGGGCTTCCTGCGGGCTTTTGGAGGCCACTTGGGGCCATCTGGATACCTTTTCGGGCAATCTTGGCCGTCTTGGAGGGCATCTTCGGTCGCCTCGGGGGCCATGCAGGGCTGTCCTGGCAGTCTTCGACGGCATGCTGGCCGTCCTGGAGGCCGCACTGGACCATCTTAGCACGCTTGAATGCAATATGTTACGTGTCTTACGCCATCTTGGAGGCAAACTTATCCGTCCAGGAGGCCATCTTGGCCGTCGTGGAGGCCATCCCCCGCGTAGCCCACCCAGTCATGGTTATGTTAATGCACTCGTACATATCCAGCTGCCTGCGGCAATTCCCGCCGCCGTGGTGATGATGATGCTGCGGGTGATAATGATGATAGCGATAATGATGATGATGAGGATGATGAGGATGATGGTGCTGATGACGACGATGATTATGATGTCGACGACGATGATGACGATGATTATGATGATGACGATGGCGAGGATGATAACGATGACGATGATGATGCTGTTGTTGAAGATGACGATGATGATGATGATGATGATGATCATGATGGTGATGGTGATGCTGATGACGATGACGACGATGATGATGATGACGATGATGATGATGGTGGTGGTGATGATGATGACGACGATTATGCTGATGATGGTCGTCGGGACATCGCGGGAAGCCTTTCGGGGGCCTGTTGGAGTCCGTTTTGAGGCCTCCTCCATGCCGTCTGGGGGCCTCCTGGGAGCCGCTTGGGGCTTCTGGGGGCTTCTTGGGGGCCTCTTGGGGAGCACTTGGGAGCCTCTTGGGGCTTCTTGGAGGCCTCTTGGGGCCTCCTGGAGAACCCCCACCAGACAGCACTTGGCATTCTAGCGCGCCTCAACGTGCCAGGCGGCACGGTGGCGGATACAGCCCAGGGACACCAGGCCATTCCGTAGCCATTGTGGCTCAGGTTTTGATTGTGCAGTCCTTCTATGTGAGCAGATACCTGCAAATTGTAACTTGTGTGTACCTTGTGCTGGGCTCTTTGATGGCAGTCATTGACGTGGAAGCAGGTGCTGGGCAGTCTCTAGGGGGTATGGAGTCTGAGAGCGCAAATAATGTGAAACTCAAGATTTTCGATTTTGAGCAGAATATTGTGGACCCAGATGCTTCGCCGGAGTACACGACTTCTTGTTGCGTTCTGTTTATTGCTGAAGAAATTGCAGAGTTCAGCGGGTGCCAGAACTTGTTCGGGCGAGCAAGCGACCTCTGGAGGGATCGCCTTTTGGCTTGCAGGAGGCCTTGGGCCAGAATTGGCGACGGCGATGGCGCTCTTCCACAATATCTCTTGGGGGAGAAGGGTTTATCGACAGACCTTGCAACCGTATTGCGCGCGGAGGAGCTCATGGAGCATTTTCTTACTCGCACCCCCCCCGTTCAGCGCTGCGTGCACGGCACCAAAGAAGGGCACGCCGAAGCGGACGACTAAAGCTGTGGGTAACACATTCGGCATTTTTGTCGGACGCCAAGCGTTCGTAATGGATTAGCACAGCTTTGTCCCATTGGGTATTCAATGTGCTCTTGCCTCTTTCGGGGTGCGGAGTGGACCACGTCGACCTGTGTTTTCATGGTGTGAAAGCGCGCGCCAGTAGCGCCGAGAGCACCCCGACCCAAGACGCGTCAGGCTCGGCAGCCATTGGTGGCGCAGTGCCGAGCACTAGCCAGGATGTCCGCGGAAGCCATGTATACACCACCGCCGTGCCTGTGGCCCCTGGCATGGTGCATGCGCCCTCCTGGCGAGGCCAGGGGGGTCTATGCGCCATTCTGGGGCCCGGGATGGCCCTGGCCAGGCGCGGCGGTGGTGTGTCGATTGCTTCCGCGGAAGGATGGTGCCCCTACCACTGACGCGGCTGCCAATGTCTTCAAGATGCGCCGTATACGTGTCAAATCGAGAGGCCATGTGTTTCCAGTGGCGCATTCCGCAGCAGGTGTCATTGGGCGCATCGCTGACGAGGCCACAGCTGGGGGGATCTTCACCGAGCGCGCGTGTTCCGAGGTGCAAGAGTATTTCTCGCAGGTGCGCGAGGCCGCGGCACGGAGGGCGCGTGCTGCAGCGAGATGGGAGTGCATGTTATGCCCCTTCAAGTCGTTCGCGGAGGTGAACCACCTGAGAGCCCATGTGACAAAGCAGCACGTGGGCGGCATGAAGCACCCCATCCGCAACTTTGTCACCTTTTCTCGGAACCTGTTCGACTCTTGCACATCCAGGCCAGCACCATGGGATCTTCCGAAGCCAGGAGAAGCCAATGGAGTTTGTCTACGCGCGCACAGCGGTTGGAAGGCTTTGGCGCGGGAGCGCCCCCTGGCCGACACCGCGCGCACGGTGCGAGCCTGGAACGCAGGCGTCAATCGTCCTGAAGCATTGAAGTGGGGATGGTACCGTGAAGATGTCCGATCCTTGATCACCGAAAAGGTGGGCGACTGCTGCTTCGGAATCATGCCGAGCATGTGCGTGCGGCGCGCATCACTTCGAGTGCTGCTGTCTCTCAGGGGTATACCCGTGCTAACCAGGTGCCTGCGGCAGGTCCTGCCACCGTGCCAGCCGAGCCCCTTGGGTGACGGCTCTTCGAATGGTAGTGGTTATGATGATGTTCATGACAATGTTGCTGGCGATGATGGCGACGACGACGACGACGACGACGACTACGACGACGACGACGACGACGGCGACGACCCCTGCCGGACAGCACTTGGCATTCTTCCACGCCTCAACGTGCCAAGGGGCACGGTGGCGGATTGCATCTGCTGCGCTGCTGAGCCAGGGGAGACCGAGGCTGCTTCGTGAGAAAATGGCTGGGTAGGCATCCCAGATGTCTCTGGCCGATGGCCTCGCGGAAGCCCTCCCAGGTCCAGCGTTCATCGGTGATCTGCTTCATCGTATTTTCCATGGGAGACCATCACTATGATGCTTCAGGACATGCGCGAGACTGCGGGCCAAGTATTCGACGAGTTCACCGATTTGAGCGTTGACGCCACGGTCAACATTATGCAATCCATCAGCGGCAATGTCCCCGAAGGCAAGCAGGGGCCTCGCCTGGCTGAGCAGGGGCGCTGCTGCCTGGCGACGAAAGGGCGCACGGGGTCCGTTCTTGCCATCAAGCCCACTCGCGCGGAGGATTTCGCCGAGCTGCTGCGAGGGATGGAAATCGCCGCGCCGCTCAATTATCGTGGGCGGGTGCTGTCGGTGTGCGCAGATAGCCCCACTAAGCTTCTCTCGGATACTGGGGAGCTCCTGGGCTCCTTCTGCAACCTGCGCTGTGTCTCTGGAGACCCTATTCATGGCAAACTGCGTCTGGAGAGCTGCTCTGGCCATAAGCCGAACCAGGTCTCGATTCTGGTTCTTGGTGTCAATATAGATCTACTCCAAAGACCCATGGGGCGACAGGCAGGCGAGACTTTTCGGTGGGACTCAGAGAAGGTGGCTGCAGAAGGCGAGGCCGCCCGCAAGGCTTACGCAGCAGGCTTGGAAATGTCCACTGCGGAGGCGCAAGAGCTCATCTCTCAGGCTGCGACCATGGGGGGGCAACCCCGAAGATTATGGCAAGCTTTTGGCAGTTGCAGGGGTCGTCGGTGCGGACGACATGGCTCGTAGAAGCGGGAAGGGCCAGGACTCCCGCACCCTTGGAGAGATCTTGGAAGCGCAGTGTGACCATTACTCATACTTTCGCAACCACGCTCTCCGACGTGGCGAGATGACACAAAACAACAGGAGGATAACAGTTGTGGAACTGCGAGCAATGAGGCTTTCCACAAGGAAGTAGGTGTGTGGGGACAACGGGTCGTGTGACAAACGCGCAGGCTCCTGGGCGCGAAGCTTCGCGTGCTGCTTTTCCTGAAACTAACGACTTTCATCCACCTGCCTGCGGCCAGCCCCGCCACCGTGCCTGGTGCAACAGCGCTCTAGAAAGGAGTCTAAGAATAGGAGGAGAAGGGGGAAGAGGAGGGGGGGAGGAGGGGGAGGACCTCTCTGGGGCCGTCTTGGACGTTTCTTTGGCTGTCTTGGGCGCCTCTTGGGCCGTCTTGGGATCCTCTTGGGCCTTCTTGGGCGCCTCTTGGGCCGTCTGGACCGTCTTGGGCGCCTCTTGGGCCGTCTGGGATCCCGGGGCCGTCTGGGCCGTCTTGGGCGCCTCTTGGGCCGTCTTGGATCTCTGGGGCCGTCTGGGCCGTCTTGGGCGCCTCTTGGGCAGTCTTGGGGTCCTCTGGCGCCGTCTTGGGGCCATCTTGGGGGCCTCTTGGGAGCGTTCGAACGCGCGCACTCCGTGCAGGCACGGTGGCGGCTATATCGGAAGCTGCATACACGGGCGCACGCGCAGGGTTGCATCGCCACCATAGTTTCTGCGCAGCTCGAAGGGGGGCTGCGACCTGATCCTGCTGCGCGAGGACGATGCAGAGTATACAGAACGGCAGGGCAAGGAGCTCGCGGCCAGAGACAGGGAGCGCTTGTACCGCGAAGGAGAGAAGGCACGCAAGGCACGTGTGGCGCAGGCTCGCGGCATCTCTTTCTTGTACCCGCGGAGAGGCGACAGCA